AAATTAGAGATGGGTGTTTCACTAATTTTTCTCTTTTTTTAATACTACAACCTCCAATTTTTTATTTATTTTTTTTAAATGATGGGCCAACTAATTAGAATTGGTAATATCAATATATTCATTCTAAAAAATAGATTGAGCGGTTGCATATTTTATTAATAATTAGAGTTGTAATTTTGAAGCTTAAACTGACTTCAAACTAACCAACATGTTTGGCTTGAATTGGAACGTGTAAGTTACAAATCATTTTTCTTTTAATGAGAAATATGTGAGTGTTAGATATCCCGTGATAACTTTTTTTATTATTATTAAATTTGACAATAGAATTCATTATATTTATATTAAGTATTTGAAAAACAGTATAAGATATATACATTTGTGATAGGTGAAAAATATCACTTGACAGTGTCACGTGGTAACCTCCCATCATACAAAAATTTGTTAATTTTGATTGACCATTTGGAACAAAAAAAGTACACATGCTCAAAAAAAAATCTTAATTATATATTGTTCCTGTGTTTTATATTATTTTAATTATATTGTGAGAGTTGAATGACAAGAATATGTCGTTTAAATTCAGGCGACGCTCATCATTGGAGGCCACACAATTAATGCTCACGCTATTGAGCATTTTATTTTGAGAAAACCAGCATCTTCAATCTTAAAAGAGGTACATATTGCTATTATAGTATTAATAAATTTAATTTAGCAGATAATATATAAGAGGAAATCATTTGTCATTGTGTTTGTTTCTTGTATGATCTTATGAGAAAATGGTATTGTTAATTGTATGTATAGGTTAATAGAATGAGCGATAAAGAGGACAAAGAAGCCATTGTTAGACAACTTTATGGGTTGGACTCATCAGACCCCAATGTCACTTTCTCTCTTTGCTGTGGCACTCGTTCTTCTCCAGCTGTAAGTCTAATTCAATTCAATTCCATGTCCTTTTTTGCAATTTATTTAATTTCAAAAAAAAGATTTATGGAGAGAAGTAAAAATAAAATAAACATATAAAAGTTATATATATTTTTCTTCTTTTTCTTTCATTTTTCTTTCTCTTTATAAATTTTTTTCTCAATTTTATTATCCAAAATAAATTTAGTTACACAATACATTTTTTGTGTACTTTTTAATATTTTATATTTCTGTACAGTTAACATTATCTTAAATAAAATATTTATACAAAAAGCCCATTTAAAAAGGTGTTTTCATGATATTTTTAAAATTATGAAGTACAATAACCAGTGTTTAGACTTGAAATAATCATTGATAATTCAATTCACCAAAAATTAAGTTCATATCTGGATATTACTCTTCATTGAAAACACTCATAATTTCAATAAAGCCATAGTTACATTCTTCCGCAACAACTTTTTGTATACATTTTACGAGTGATAATTTAGTATTTTCAGAGTATAGACACGTGTTGTTCTATAAGGTTTTGATTGGTAGAGAAGGGTAGGGGCTCACGGTTTATATTGGGAATGGTTTCTATAACATGGGGCTAAGTAATTAGTGATAGACTTAGATTATGGCCACGTAATGTTCCGAAATTATTGAATAATTTCTCACATTTTACATAAGATCAGAATTTTTTATCTAGGCCTATTAAATTTAGGAGAAATCACATGTTAGAGGCCTTTGCAAAGATTAATTACAAATCTATAATAAAGTTTATGACATCATCTTTTAATATTTATAAAGTTTACCATTAATCTAAAAATATTTATGGAAGTGAAATTATTCTTTAAATTAATCAACAATGCTATGGACTCAGAAAATTTATCCAAAAACACTAAGAAAAACTAATGTGTGGTTGAGATTTATTTCAAATGTGGATCCCACTATATAAAAATTGAATCTAAACCACACAATTTTTTTTTTTTTTTTTGGTCAACATTCTAAGTAGTTAGATTTGTTAATTTATTAGTAAAATTAATGTACCACTTATAGAGCCATCACTACTCTATCAATTCGAATCACTGGCATTTCCTTACTGCACCCTAATGGTGTGTTTGGTCGGAAATTTGGGAAGGGAGGGAAAGAGAAAATGTATGTGAAACTAGGTGAAATTTACGTATATTTTATTCATATTTCACCTACCTTTTCCATTTTTCTTTCCAAATTTCTCTCCAAATTCTCCCACCAAACACAACATAAGGTACAGTTACATACCAACTTGCCACAAGGCCTTGGCAACCACGCATTACTTTTTCGGGTAAAATTCTTAACAAATTTTTAAAGTTCCTAAAATCTTTTCTGTAAATTTATTGAACACTCTTATCTTAATTGCTCTTTGTTTTACGAGCAGGTGAGAATATACACAGCAGAAGGAATAGCAGCAGAGTTAGAGAAATCAAAGGTAGAATACCTTCAAGCCTCCATTGTAGTGACAAACACAAAGAGGATTGCTCTCCCTGGACTTCTTCTTCGAAACATGCATGATTTCGCCAAAGACATGGACTCACTTGTTGAGTGGGTTTATCACCAGCTTCCAACTTCTGGGTCTTTTAGAAAATCCATGGTGGATTGCTTTAGGACACTCAACACTGCAAAGGTCTCTACCATTGTTGACAAAACCCCGTATGACTCTGAATTTCAATATCTCTTGTCTATATAAAATTTAAGAGTAATGTAATATACATAAACGAATTTCTAATCAGATCAAAAATAGTGAGATTCATATTATTTATGTGGGATCCATGTTTTTGAGTTTGATGGTAAAAAATTAAAAATTCGTTTATGTATTATCTCAACTCTTATTCAGTGAAACTTATTAGAGATATGTATGCAAGAGTTGGTGGAAGACATTATTCAAAATTCAATAAAACTATGGCCAACATTTGAGAATTTGGCTATATTTTAGTTGATTTTTTTTTTTTTGAATATTTTATCAGATAAAAAAAAATTGTGTTTAGAATAATTTATAGATTTTTTTTTTTAGTTGAATAGATAATTGTGAAAGAAAAAGTAATTGATTAATGTATAAGATGTGACATTTTGTCTTACTGATTATTTTAACATTTTTGGGGTTCAGAATTTTATCATACCTTGAAAAGGAATATATGTTAGCAAAAATCTGATTTGGATTAAATTGGCAGAGTGGATTCGACAAACAATGCCAATTTTTATAAACAAAGATCAAATCAAGCAATTGTAGTTGATGTCTTATGTCTTAACAAATTCAAGAACATCTTTCGATGTTGTAATGTAAAGAAATGAGGATAAACACACTGAAAATTTGATTAAAAACAATTAAACTTGTCACTTAATTGTAAGAATCAAATTACAAGTGCCAAGCATTACAATTGACAGAGTTCAATAACACTGGTTACAAAGATTAATGGTTAATTTATTCCTAATTATAATAACTATTCCTATTATACTTTAAACTACTCCTAAATTTCACAAGTACTGTGAATTGAGTTAAAGGTCCTTTCTTCTTCGAATTTCTAGCTTTTATACTACTGCATTGGCCAAGAGATATGGCCATGTGTCCACTTGCTAGCATCTCCCACTTACTCATGATTTATAATTGCTGCAACTGCCTTCAATTCATTTTCTCCATGAAACAGTCACGTGTCATGACTGTGATCTCTCTCTCTCTCTCTCTAGATCACCATCTTCATGCCCACGGTTCTTGGACCCTTATTGCTCATATTCTTGGTCTTTGACATCTCTGTCAATAGAGAATTTTGAATTTTGATGCCAATAGTGGTGTACACTGAATTGTTATAGAATGGGTCCTAAATTTGAAATAAATTGATTACATACTAATTTTTTTAAATAAAATTTTGAATAAATGTAGATTATATATTATATTTCACACTGTTTTTTTTCTTCTTTTTTATATTCATAATTAAACTTAATATAATTTTCATTTCTCAATATTGCTCTACATATTTGATGCACACCAATTGGCAAAGTCCGAAAAAAACAAAAATAAAAAACCTAGATAATCGTATAGATGAATCTCGTATCGGCCCATCAAAGCCCGATAGCGCCCCCTAGGAATCCCACAGAATGATTGTTACTCTCTAGGAATCCCATCACAACCAGACAGTTGATAAAAGTAGAGATCGTGATCTAGCGAAAATAATTATAATTTTATGAAAGTAAGCAATTCAATGTGTCTTTTATCACTACAAAATTTTCTCTTACATCAGCAATAAACCAATACACATTACAATTATTTAAGTAGCTCATATTGGAACGCAATTTTTTCTCACTATAATATCAAGTATTTAATATTTCTTGTGCAAACTTAGTTAGAATAAGTTAATACAGTCATTTTGTCCTTTTTTTTTTTTTTTTAAATTGATGTAACTCTTCATGATTTTATTATTATTATTTTTTTGACAATTGATGAAAAAGTAATTATAAATATAAAAAAATTTTACATCATCAATCAATCAGGCCACTAACTCATAATAGTTAAAAAGTTAACAAAACTTAACCAAGCCCACCAAGCCCGATCGTCATATACAATCCATATAATAAGAAAAAAATCAATCACCACAAAGAGTTTCAAAACCCTAGTGCTTGATTTTGATTTTAGTAATAAAGGTTTATTTTTTGTTTATTACACGCACCCCATAAAAATAAATATATAAAAAAATATATAAAAAAATATATAAAAAAAAAAAAGGTAAACTTATGAATTATATTTATTTTGAGTTTGACTTATATTCTCCCAACTTTAAATCTGGAAATTATAGAATGTTCCCGAAATATCACGTGTCCATACTCTTTAACCAATCATCATTCAATATGCCTCTTCATATTCCTCAATCACCCAATACAATACCGTATCTACTCACATTTTTCACTAATCATAATATTATAAAATATTACATGTCTATACTCCACAATTAATGAATAATTTTTCCTTTTAAGTCTATGTCGTAATAAAAATTTTCTTAATAAAACTTTGATGATTTTGGTAGCATTTTCCTTACTCCATGAAACACCCAAAGAAAGTAAAAGGACCCCCGCTCTCATGCCATGGACCAAGCAACATCAACCACACCCAAGCCCTTGTCCAACACTAAACCATTCCACACAGCATCTGAACCAGCAACTACATTATTCCCACAAGGTGGTTGACCACCATGCATCTCATCACAACCTCCCAGCGAGTCACACTCATCCACCACCTTAGCCCTCACTTTCCTCCCATTTCCACTCAAAACCAGCACCATCTTCACACACATTGATTCCCCATTGTACCACCCAGTCAACAGCGCCACCACTCGCTCCGCCCGCTGGTGGTACTCGCCATTGCACTCCGATTTCCACCCATACCCTCCTTCAGTAAAATCACGGTTGGTGAGCTTGAGGATGTGCCTGGAGCCAAGCAGTCGTAGGCTGAATTTTGACATACAAATGTGGATATGACTTTTTTTGACATGTACGGAAGGGCATTTTTTTTACCTCCGTCCGTATATATAGTGGTTCGTACAAATTATTTTTTTGGCGTGATAAATATCTACAATTTGGCATGATAGAAATTAGTATTGGACGCTGTACAAATTAGTTTTCGGGGTGGTACAGATTAAATTTTTGGTGTGGTACAGGTTACCTTTTGGATATTAAATTTGGTTAATCCTCTATTATGTATGGAATTAAATTATTGAGTTTGGATTATACTTGATTCGTATGGAATTTGTATTACATTTAGAATTGGACGTTCAATATGAACTTTTTGGATGGTTCGAAGTGATATGTGTGCACATTGTCGAATGGTTATTAATATATTCAATATTGATGGATTATATTATTTATACAAAGTACAAGTTGCATTAATAATGAATACAGGTGGTTCATAAATTAAAAAAAAAAAATGTAGTGTAGTATAATATTTGGCGACTAAATATTTTGGTAGCAAAAAACGTAAGCAAATGTTTTGGTGACTAATAATTTAGTAGCAAAAAAGAACCAAACGGCTTTTGCGACCAAACAGTTAGTAGCTAAAACAAACCAGAATGATGGGAAGAAACTATTGTTGACTAAATATTTTAGTCACAAAAAGCACGACATCCTTTGGCGATTAAAATGTTTGGTGGTAAAAAATAATGACATGAAAATTAAGAAACTTTCGACGACTAAAGTTTGTAGTCGGTAAAAGTAACAATGGCTAAATTCCATGGTCGCTAAATGTATGTATTCTATTGGTGACTAAAACTTTAGTCTCTAATAGTTGAACTTAGTTTATGTTAGAACTTTCTGCGACTAATATTTTAGTTGCCAAACAGTCACCTTTGCCGACTAAAAATTAGTTTAGTAGCCAAACGTTTACTTTCGGCGACCAATAATTTAATCGCCAACAAATCACCTTTCCCGACTAACCAAAAGTTTAGTAGCCAAAATTCACCTTCGGTGACTAATGTTTTAGTCGCCAAAAGATAACATTTGCTGACTAACCAAAGTTTAGTAGCCAAACGTTTCACTTTCGGCAACCAAAAAATAATTTAGTCGCCAATACTATCGCCGACAGGGTATAAGCGACTACCTTGGCTGCAAAAAAATTTAGTCAGTAATTCGTTTCAGCGACCAAACATGGGACTTTTGGCAACCAATAGCTTAGTCGCCAAAAGTGTTATTTCCTGTAATGACTTATCATATTTGCCAATATCTATTGTCAAACCTGAAATATTTAAGAATAAATAAATAATTAAGCGAATCAACTAAATTTTGTACTCAACCAATTTCATTATATATTTAAAATATATTATGTTTAATATGCAAAAGTTTCGGTTAGTTTTGGTTTAATTCTATACACAAGGTGTCTAAATCAATATTGAACCAAAAATCGAAAACAAATTAATTTTAAAATCCATACATATCGATTCATATTAAAAAACCGACCAACTATAACCGATTTGGTTCGGTTCAACCAGTTTAGTCAATTTTTTTTATTTTTCTTACATCTCTATGCGAGACAGATCCCTAGCGGACAATAATTCATCACTAAAAATATAACGACGATCCTTTTGACAATTAAAATATTTCATCTTAACAAATAATCTCAATATTAAATTTTTATTTCTAAAATCATAATTTATTTCTAATCCAAGGCTGCTATCCCATCAAATGAGGAATCTTGCTGGCTCGGCCCTAAGCCTTGCAGGAGTTTGGCCCAATAGCAAACAGGTGTCTGGTTTTGACCATCTTCAGTAAAAATTAGGTCTAAAATTATAATGATTGTTTGGAAAATGTGTATATGGGAAGTGCATGGGAAAAAAAGTTGAGTTTCTGAATGATATGATTGTTCGAAAAATATGCGGAAATTCTGGGCGAGAAAGCTGAGTTGCACTGTGAAAGGACCGATTGAAGAGTCCTTTGAGTAAGAATTCAACATTTTAAGTAGTGGGACCACATGGAGTGATTATTTGGTGGTTTTACAATAATATTCTATATTATTTATTACTTGATATTTATTAAGTTGTTTTTTAAAATCTTAATAAAAATTATTGATTCTCACAATATAATTTTTCGATCACATGGTCAAGTGTCATGTCATATGCACATCACCTGAGAAACACTACACTATAAATTTCTCTTATCTTCTCTTTTGTATTATTTATAAAGTCAACATCTCTCTTAGTAGAAATCTCACACTATTTTGACAAAGAATATGAATGTAACTATATAATGAAGTCTATTTAAAATAAAATGAAGTAGAAATATAATGATTGTTTGGAAAATATGTATGCGGGAAGTGCTTGGAAAAAAAAAAATTTGAGTGAACATTGAAAGGGGTCTAAATGGTAATTATCGTTCGGAAAACATGTGAAAAATTTTGGCGAAGAAAGTTGAGTTGCACATGAAAGAAGATTATTCGGTAGTCTGAGAGTATGGTCACGTGATATTTCACATGGTCAAGTGTCATATCAAAATTATTTTAAAATTTGTGAAAGGGGAATATTTATAAATTTATGAAAGGAGAGATTGGTCACGTGATGTTGCATACTGAAAGGGCAATATTTATAAATGTATGAAAAAATTTATAAGTTTAATTATTAATATTGATAAAATTTATCATTAATTTAAAATTCTTTTTAAAAACTTATACTGATTTGTATTTTTTTTTTCTTTCTTTCTTTGGCCATAGAAAAGAAGGGACACTCTTTTCCCTAACAAAATAATTTTGCACCTTTTGAGATTTGGTACAAGTGACATATTTTTATCTGTTTCTATTGGCATGATTTGTTAAAAAAATTGGAATCATATAATCTAAAATCACATTGAATATAGATGGAAGAGACAATTAGAGTAAATTAACCATGTTTGAATGGCTTACACAGGCTACACGTGAGATTAAAGATGTAATCAGTTTGGGACGATCGGTGTTTAGGTGAAATTTTATACCAGATCAATAATTTCAATTCTATTGTATGGAAAACTAAATCAAATCAAATTTTTCACTAAACTGTACCAAACTGTACCGATTCAAATGATTTGGCTCGGTGCGGTTTTCGATTTACGACCTTTCAAATTTGAGTTACTTCTTAAATTTATAGTATAATAAATAATTTATATAAAAATATTGAATCAGCCATTTGTACATTACCTCAATATCCAATCCAACCATTCACTAAAATGCAAGCAAAAAAATTAATAAATATTAAGTGTTTAAGCTTTTACTAAAGTAGAATTAGAAATAAAATATAATTTGAAAACCAAAGTCTTGACACCAAAGCAAAAGCAAAGTTTAAAACCATAATCCCATAAGACTAAATCACAAGTATATCAAGTAGAGTTAAAACAAAAAATTGAAAACGACATAAATATCTGATATAGCTATATACGCATAGTAGTAGCGAAACTTGACTCAAGCACATATGAGTGACAAACTAAACTAACAATTTATCACATTTGCCAATATCTATTCTCAAATCTAGAATATTTAAGAAAAAATAAACAATCAAGTGAATCAACTAAATTTTGTACTCAACCAATTTCATTATATATTTAATATATATTATGTTTAATATGCGAAACTTTCAGTTGGTTTCGGTTTAATTCGGTACATAAGGTGCCTAAACTGATATTGGACTGAAAATTTAAAAAAAATTAATTTTAAAAACTACACATACCGATTTATATTAAAAAATCGACCAAATATAGCCGATTTGGTTCAGTTCAACCTGTTTGGTTGGTTTTTTTGATTTTTCTTACATCCCTATGTGAGATAGATCCCTGGAAGACAACAATTCATCACTAAAAATATAACAACAATACTTTTGACAATGAAAATATTTCATCTTTAAAAATAATTTCAATATTAAATTTTTATTTCTAAAATCATACTTTGTTTCTAATCCAAGGCTGCCATCCCATCAAATGAGGAATCTTGCTGGCTCGGCCCTAAGCCTTACAGGAGTTTGGCCCAATAGCAAACAGGTTTCTGGCCCATAGCCGAAAGGGGTATTTAGCCCAATCTGACCTTTCTTTTCGTAAAAAGACAAAAAGTACACTTATTTAGGTCATCCCAAACAAACCCTAAATTTTTATTTCTAAAATCATACTTTGTTTCTAATCCAAGGCCGCCATCCCATCAAATGAGGAATCTTGCTGGCTCGGCCCTAAGCCTTACAGGAGTTTGGCCCAATAGCAAACAGGTTTCTGGCCCATAGCCGAAAGGGGTATTTAGCCCAATCTGACCTTGCTCAATTTTTTTTGATCATCTTCAGTAAAAATTAGGTCTAAAATTATAATGATTGTTTGGAAAATATGTGTATGGGAAGTGCATGGAAAAAAAAAAGTTGAGTTTCTGGATGGTAGTGATTGTTTGGAAAATATGTGGAAATTCTTGGCGAGAAAGTTGAATTGCACTGTGATAGGGGCCAAATGGAGAGTCCTTTGAGAAAGAATTCAACATTTTAAGTAGTGTGACCACATGGAGTGATTATTTTGTGATTTTGGAGTAATATTCTATATTATTTATTACTTGATATTTATCAAGTCGTTTCTTAAAATCTTAATAAAAATTATTGAGTCTCACAATTTTAACTAATAAATATCAAATTAGGATATCATGTGAATTTGTTCTAAGACGATGTACGGGGAGCAAATATTTCGGCAAGCCCGTACTCCTTTCTTCCGAGCTCCGTTATTGTCCGATCACCTGCGAGCAAATAACGATGAGCTACCCGACGGTGTGTGGCCGGAAAACCCTTCTGACGATCAAGTTGGAACACACACACAGGGGAAAGATAGAGAGAAGGGAGAGTCTTCAGTGTTTAGTATATGTCTCACCAAATGTTCATCTATCGCACATGGGGGGCGCAGATTCGCTTATATACCTTCTGCGCCCCAAATCTACTCCCATTCGTCTCTCGACACGTGGCGCTGCTATCCCATCTGTTAGCACAAATCT